AAAGTCTTTTGGTTAAGATTGATTAAGATCAGTTATAATATTGCAGAGTTTATTAAAAATATTTAATGTGATAGGAATATAGATGAGATAAACCAATAATAAAAATATAAGCTTTATAGTAAAAAATATAAAAATAAGCAGTTTTAGTGCAACAGTAAAAGAAAATAAAACAAAAAGTGTACAAAAAGATGATTAATATTTAGGTATTACGATCTAGATATCAAAAAGATAATGATATATACTAAATATAATCATGTAATGGAATACTATGCAAAAATAAAGAGGCAAATTAATTTGATCATCATTGAGTTATATGATGTAACATTTAATATTCTTTGTAATACATCTTAATTTTTGTTAATCAATAATTAAGTAATTACGAATTTTTTTGATGAAATGATAATACTATTAAATACATAGAAATATATCCATCCAATATGAGCTCTTCTTTCTAACATACAATTATAAAGTCAGAATACTAATTAAACTTTAATATCTGACTTCAAAAGAAATTGATACTAATTCTGATCAACAAATATTAAACTGTATTTTTTCTATAATTCATCAACTTCCAATAATAATAGAAATAGTTAAAGAATGAGCTAACAAAAGCCAAAAGAAATTTAAGGAACATTATGATTGATGAATAAAGTAATATTCTTCAAAATTAATGAAAAAGTACTAATTTACAATATAAAGCAACACGCATTGTATAGTAATAAGTTTAAATTATAATAAAGATTCAAGTGATATTATATTTACAAAGGATACAGCAACAACATTTACAAATTGCATAGTCAACATGATTTGTTGCTAAAGAAATCCTTTAATAGAATATAGCTAAAAAAAATATCATAAAAGAAATCAACAAAAAAATAATAATAAAATAATAAATAATAAATAAAGTTTTCCAGAAAGAGTTAGTGATCATATAGTAGTAATTTCACTATATATCAATATAGTTTAATATACAAAAATGATAAATAAATCACTTCAGTATAATCATGTTGATTATGAAAACTTGACAAATAATTACATATTTAAAAACATATATATATATATATATATATATTAGCATTTTCAGAATAAATGCACAATACACAAAAATACAACACAAAAAAATAATGATAAGCATTCCAATACTATTGTCAGATGTTATTACTTTTCTTCTTCAATTATAACTCAAACTCAATTACTGTCACTTTGAAGGAACTGTCTCCATTAATCAAATGCAAATAATGATCACCAGCAGCGAAGATGATCAATATAATCTTCTGAAATTATTCAGAGTAGACAATAATAATCTCGAAAGATTGTTATCATAATACTCTCACCAGATGATAATGATAATGATCTAGAAGAATTAATCAAAATAACATTCTCACTGGATGATTTTGTCATTCTTCCTATCACATTAAATATTTTTAATAAACTCTGCAATATTATAACTGATCTTAATCAATCTTAACCAAAAGACTTTGTCAAAATCACGTCTCACTACCAATTTACTGATAAACAAGATTAGAAGTCAAGAATTCAGCAAGTCCTTACTGATATTGTGCAACAAGAATAAGAAAATCATATAAAATTGATGTATTATTATCATCTTGGTTCCCTGATATCAATAATGCTGTTGATATTTAAATACCAAATGGTATTTCTAAAGAAAGAATTGGGTCAAACCTGTAAAATCTCATTCATCAATTTCATCAAAAAGATTTGCAATGGTTAGGCTGGTACTTAAAACTAATCCCAATTCAAATTAGCACACTCAGCAAAGATGATATCTCTGCGATTTTTAACAACATCTAAATTCACATGTTTTTATAGAGTAAAAACTTCCCAATCAAGAGCAAGTGTTATACCAGTAACACAATCTTCTTTTAAAAATACATTATTTTTTTTGTGTGTATTTCTTTATTTGTGTTATTTGTGTCAATCAATTCAAATTATACCACAAATTACACCACAAATTACACCGTAAATTACACTGCAAATTACACTGCAAATTACATTGCAAATTACACCACCAATTACATGTACACTGTAAATTCTACTGTAAATTCTACCATAAATTCCACTGTAAATTCTACCATAAATTCCACTATAAATTCTACCATAAATTCCACCATAAATTTCACTGTAATTACACCATAAATTACATCTTAAATTACATCATAAATAGGAAGCCAAAAATGTATATAAGAATGAGAAAGAGCAGTTAGAGAACAGAGAGAAGAATTGGCAATAAAGCAATAAAAAAAAAACTTTAAAATATAATTACTTACTTGCGTACAATTAGTTTTATATGGTGCCCTTTCGTTCTCCATCCCAATAATTAAATCCATTATTACAAAAGGGGTTTGCCACTTTGATCCAGAAAAAGTGAGGTGAATACGATTTGAAGGGTTTGTCGCTTTGATCCAGAAAAGTGAGATAATTGTTTTAACGACTACGATTTAAGGGTTTACGCTTTTGGTCCAGAAAAAGTGAACGCATTGTTAACATTTGTGAAACACGTAAACGAAATCAAACTGACAATTGAACACAACAATATCCGAAGATATTGGCACAGAACCTTGGAAAATTAATAAATAAAATAACTTTAGTTTAATTCGTTTCTCCCACTGAAGTTACAGATTAGCAGCTAATTCCTATAATCGGTCACTAACCTGTAACAGTACGATACTCTTGATTGTTATCGTTATAGGGCGAGACGTTTCAGATTTTGAAAAATCGTTTTGCCAGAAACACTAGATTGTGCCGTTTTCAAAAATATAAGGGATGCGATGAATGCTTTATCTTACAAAGCTGAATGATCTAGCGAAAATAAAGATATCGACAGTCTAATACAAGAATGTGAACATCAATGAACATGCGTTTTTCGAATGAATCCCTTTTGATCGATTAACTAATTTGCAAAAAGAGGATCCATTGACTAGAATTTGGGATAATGAATAAATAATTTAAACGAAATAAAGAATATAAACGCAAAGTTGTATTAGAAATCATGAACGAGATAAAAAATTCAAGTATGATTTTTTTAATATAAATTTTTTCGGGCTTGCTTCAAAGTGCAAACATTCTCTTGGTTTATATAACTAAAAACCCAGCTACACATTACACAGAAGATTAATTACAAGTACGAATGCGAAGTATTGACTTGATACGAAAAATTTGAAATTTAACCAAGTGGGACTTGTGCATCGCGACTTTCACCCTGGAAATATCTTAATAAAGAATACGTTATTTGGTAATCAAGCTCAAATTGCCGATTTGGACTTAACAGTTCAGCTAATTTAAATAATCTGATCAAGAAATTTACGAATTGCTTCCTTACCCAGAGGTGCAAATGGGAAGCCATACACTTGAGATATTTATAGCTTTTGAGATGATTATGTACGAATAATCAAACGACTACGACTATTCGGTGAGTGGAGTCATGATAAATATCTGGTATGCGAAGTCTATAAAGGAGTACGACTTAAGACACCGGATAGTATTCTTGGATGGTGCAAATGTGTTATTCCAAAAAACAGATCAAGCATTTATACAAAAACAAAAAATCCGCTCAATTCAATTTACACAGTCGAATTGTTACTACAAAATTCCAACTGATACAGGTACATTAATTTTTAAACGATGATGTTAGCATTTTATATTAATTGTAAAATTATATCGAATACATGTACGTATATCGCTATAATGTTACCATACCATAGTCATAAAACAGGAATTTTTGTGACATGTATAATGATAACGATAAATAAAAAATCATAACGATAACGATCCTTTCGCATCAATCGTCATTGTAAAAGAAATACGTACTCGGGTAAATTTTATTAAGATAAATAACAAAAAATAAATATAAATGACAAAAAATAAAAAAATCTTTGAATTAATATTAATAGGGTGTTTTTTTTATAGTTTTAGAATAAGAAATGAATAATTTTTTAACCAGATACGAATATATTTTTTGTGAAATACAATAAGTTGTTTATACGGAAACAACTCTGATGTTTGGCAACATGATACAGTCGTCCCTCCATACAATCACGTCCTCGGGGCCAGGGAAAGTGTAATTGTAGAGAGGCTGTGACTATATAGGTTGTGATTATATGGAAAGACGACTGTACCTCTATAATCAAGGTGAATTAAGAATTTCAAACTTTCGTTTACTGTTTTCAAATTAATTAGAGAGCTGCAACGAGGATTCGTTGGAATCCGAAGTTTCGAGGGCAAATCATGAATCTTTAGATTCGTGAAAGCTATTCCAGAAGATTTGATGTTGATTCGCCAAATCGGGATCTAAAGTTGATTCGTGCTCTTGCATCACGTAATTTACAGCTGGATCGGAACCAACGCCAGAAAAAAGCTCTAAAAATGTTTTGTACTGTTGCATCTCAAAATCGGAATAAATGAGGTCTGAGGTCGGTTCGCCCTCTTTCACCGCGTAATTTCTAGCTGAATCAGAACCAGCATTATAAAAAAGTAGCGGTAGTACGTAATCTTGCCTAGCCGAGTCGGAACCAAACCCGTGAAAAGGAACTGAAGTTGATTCGTGATTTAAACTCTGACGCTGCGTGATAGTTTGGTCTCTATTATTGACATAAAATCGATAAATTTAATTATATTGCACAGTCATTCCAAATAGAAGAAAAAATCAAGACCCACATATTATTTGAGATTTTCTTTTTATGATTTTTTAATTCTTGGTAAATTGAAGAGAATATACCAGCCAGCTCACTTTTATAGAGTTTATTTAAATATGAACTGAGCTGTGATATGTAAATAATTTTCTGGTCAGTTTTTAAGGAAGATAAAGGGCACGATTGCTCGATACAATGTAGTTTTTCTAACACCGCGCTTGATAAGCTAGCTCTAAATAGGATATAACGATTGGCTGGTTTTTTATAGATATTATTACGATTTTTATTTATTGATTTGTTTTTATAAGGGTCCAAGATAAATTCATGCTTGCATTTATCGTTACTCGAATATTTAAAAGATAGATTTATCTTATTATCGCTAATAGTAAGCGACGAAGATGTTGGCATGCTAAAAGATATTTTTGGTTTTTTCTCAACTGAATATAGTATAAAATCATTCATTTGAATAGTTAACAAAGGAGATGTATTAAATTAAAGTGAAAGAAAAAAACATATCGCTGAAGCAAAAGGAAACGTCTCGCTTTATACATGTATTACATTTTTTTTAAATAGAAGGATGGTATCAAGTAAATTACCAAAGCTAGCCTTTGTGTTGTGTAATAAATACATACATGTACAATTTGCATTTTAAATACATTTAAAATGGCTGTTTTAGACTTTGGTACAACAGGAATCTCTATATGTCCAGAATACGTACGTAGCTTCTCGATTACATGCACAACTATCGATCGATTTTATTGCTATGAAATCGCTATAATATCGTTTTTTGTTAAATGTGTTCTTTGTTATGTAGTGTACTAAAAAATCATTATAAATGATAAAATTAAGTATTTATAAAATTTAAATCAGAAAGCTTTAGTATCTGTATTAGTATACGTATATGCTAGTAAATAAAAGGAATTCTATGAATAAGTTGGTAACGGTAACCTATCGTTATCATTATCATTATCATTATCATTATTAATTAACACATACCCGATTAAAGCGATTATCGTAGAGCACTGCCTCATTGCATCTCAACCGGATTTATGTGTTGTTTGCTGTTATTGTTTTCTGTAGTGCTGAAAACTGAATTCTGTGATTTTATTGATAAAAGAACTTAACGTTAAATCGTTAAGAGAAATTACTTGATGTGTTGCTTAAAAGTGAGTCGCTTAAAATATCGAACAATTACTTGAGATTGAAAAAAAGAAACATAGAAATAAATCGTATTTCTAACTCCATTAAAATACATCTTTTCAATGATTCTTTGGTCTGATTATCTATAATGAAAAACTACTATATGTAGGACATCTAAACACATCACAAGAAATAAAACGTAATAGTTAAAAATAGAATAATATATATTTGTTAAACTTTAATAATAGACATATTAAAAAATGAAATTATGAAAAGATATTTTATTTTGATTTAAAGTTGGATAACTTTTATTAACATGGATCTTTTCAATTCCCGAAATTTCACATGACTTTTTGATCATCGTTATACTGTTACCATTACACATTTAACAACAAAAAATCGGCCAAAGTCGATTTTTCGGCCTATATCGATATACGTAGTCGGTTGATTTTTAGTAAAAAAGGAAGCTAATATATATCGATCGATATGTATCGGTATTGTTACCGTCGGCGAACAAACTTCATTGTGGCTTTTCGGGGATAAATGACAGAAGACGAACCAAGGAGATCGCCAACGCCGAATGAATATTTTTCAGCAAAATTCCCGTCTGATTATCAACAATGCTGCTGATTTCCAAATCCCGGTAGATTTTTCAGCAAACAGCAGCAAATGCCCAATCTGAATAACGATAACTGCTAATTCCCATAATTGTGCTATATAACAAAAACAATAAGCTTCCTTTTCGGTACACAAATCCTCATCTCCATGTTTTTTTCGCTGATTTGTAACATTTGTTATCATCCATCCTTCTGCATTTCCTCATCCATCTACAGCATCTTTTCATCAATCCTTATCAATTTTCAACTTGATTTCTTTATTAGGGAAACACAGCACCATCCATCCCCTTAGATAAAAAAGCATTTCTTAAGGAAACATTATGATAACTATAGTAAAAAAAAGTGACAAATGTAATAATACAAAAAAAATGTATAAAAGAATGACCTATGGACTACTAATAAAGACAGAATTGAATTGTGTACAATTCTTCTTCAAGCAAAAAATCAAACTTGAATCCTTGTGTACAATTATTTTTATAAGTGAATCATTGCTTCTAAAACTCTTACTCTTTCTCTCTATAGTAATCATTATATTGTTTGTCAGTTAGATTCTTTGTACCAGAAAAGATATTGTTTTTTGTTAAGAAACTGTTTTTGTGTAGTTATTATTATATTTTTAAGAGTTTAAGGCTTTTATCTAGAAAAAGCAACAATTGTTATTAAATTTTATTTAAGAATTTAAGAGTTTAAGACTTTTAGCTAGAAAAAACAATAATCAAACTTTCTAACACCTATCTGAAATACATAATCTCTTCATAATTAATTCAATTAATAAATATCAGTACAGATTTTAGAAACTAAAATAAATATTGCTCAATCTATCAATCTCTTTCAAAAAGATTTGTTATAATAAAAAATTTTCTATTTACTCAATTTAAACAAAGTCACAATAATATATAAATAATATTAATATCTGCTTTATTTCACTTTTTATTTTCTTTTTCATTTTTTATTTATATTTTATTTTTTTTATTAATTTATTATCTTTATATAATATCTTATAATATAAATTATATAACTTTTAAATTAGATTATCTAATTTTTTTATATTTTATTATATTAATATAAAAATTATAAATTATAAATTATTCTTTTTTTCAAATTTATTATTACAGATAAAATAATAATTATATTTCATAATAATTTATCTATAGATATAATTATTAAATTTATAATATAATTTTTATTTTAGTTTATTTATTATATTTTTTTATTTAATTATTTTTTTGTTTTATTTTTTATCTTAAATAGTAAGTTAATTTATATATCAATTACTATAAGAAAATCTTAATATATAAAATTTAGTGAAGTTATTAAATATTATTATAATATAAATATATGTTATCTATTTTTAGTAATAGTTTTTTAATTTCTTTCATTATAAAAACTTAATCTTATATATCTTTAATTAATAAAAACATGTGAATAATATATTAAAACTTAAAATTATAAAAATGATAACAATATAATTATTGTTACAGCGATTCTGGATAGTGGGTTTCACTGAGAATCACTATAAGCATATGATGTTGGGAGAGGGGCGATTA